CTGGGGGGATTACCAAATCCATCTTGTATAGCCCCTTTCCCCTACCAGTGCCTGTGGTAAAAGGGGAAGAATCCTCAACGGCGATGGGCATATGGCACTCGCGCAGTGTCTTGAGGACCACTCGAACCATCCTGTTATGGAGGAAGGTTGAGGCGCCGGTCTTGGTGCAGACGAGGGAGTGGGCTCGGCTCAAGCGGTCCTTGCATGGTAACAATGCACCTGCACCACAAAGTTTGCCTGTTTTGCAGTCTGCTCGATCGTGACTCCCCAGTACACGACCGATTGACTCTCGATATAGATCAGGCAGCATTCTTTCATCTGCTGACAACCCTTGCGTGGTGTGTGTGTGTGTGAACCGGCACTTATTGCGGGGCGCCGTGGTGCCCAATCGGCACTATTGAGGGCGCTTTCTGTGTCCAGAGATTTTACCGGCACTATACCGGGCATCGGCACTTTAGCGGGCCCAGTACTGTATTCAATCTTCTCCTCTTTCTTTCTCTCTCTGACGGTTTCGCAGACCCTTGTTGATTCCCTTCCATTTTCACTTGACGATCACATCGTTGCCACTCCACGTGCCCCCCCACGGTTTCGTTGCTGTCGCTTTTCGTCGTTTACTTTCGTTTCCATGTTGTTGCTCTTGTCTTTCTTGCAGGAGGAGATGAAGCGCGTCCGCCAGCAGGCCAAGCGTGCCCATCGGGGTTTGCTTGGTGCCCCCAAGAAGTGAACAGGGAGATGGAGAACAAGGACGAAAACAACGCACAACGGGGTCCGTCTGGTTGTCGAACTTCGTCGGGACGATGACCGGGGGGGAGGGGGAGGGAGAAGGACACAGAGAGAGGGGGAGAAAGGTAGAGAAGGATAGAGACCGACTGACAGGCAGAGAGATAGAGAGAAAGAGTTAGGAGATGGAGAAATTTTAACTTGAGAAAGCGGTGGCCTTCACGAACTTCCAGGTGGTGTTGGTCTTAATTCTGTTTTTTCGTGGATGAGGAGGGCTTCTGATTCTTGCGTACGTGCTGTAAAAATTGGTCGGGACGATGAGAGAGAGGGAGAGGGAGAGACACGGAATTGAGAAAGTGGTGGCCTTGCAATACTTGCAGGCTTTTTTCGCCTTATTGAGTTGTTTTGTCATTGGCATGGAACAAGAGGTTTTCTAATGCTTGCGTGCTTGGACGAGAAACGCGTCCTGACAGTGGCTGCTTGTAAAATCTGGGTTGGATAGATGGGAGGGAAACGAACAGAAAGAAAGGGAAAGAGCCTGGGTGTTATGACAAATGTGATACCAACTCGACGAATATCGTCGACGCTGCCTGCCCAAAGCGTTTCTCAACTAGTAGATAGCTCGAGAATGCGGGCATCAACACGGTCGGTGATAGCCAGGGCAAGAAAGGATAGGTTTGTTGGAGGCTTCGAATGGTCATGGCGTTTTTTGTTTTGATTGGGGTAAAATATGTGGACAAGTATTTTGGAATTTCGGCGCCCCCGGACGAGACGAGGAGTTCCTGGCTGAGTTCCACCGCTCTATCGAAGTTTGTTTTTGCGGAGTCTCGCCTTTTTTTTTACCAGACACAAGTACATAGCGCAGAGGCAAGGAGCAAGGTGGACACGTAGAAGTGGTTTGCCAGCCCCAAGAGCTGCCAACTATTGAGTATTTTGCCACCTTCCATCCTGTCTTTCTTTTTCGAAGGTGGGGGGGAAAGGAGAGAACCGACTTCAGGACCCGGTACACAGCAGTTGCATACTGTAGTACGGCGAATAATAATCTGGTAAAGAGGCAAGATGGTACCGTTATGGGGAATAATAATCTGGTAAAGAGGCAAGATGGTACCGTTGTGGGGAATAATAATCTGGTAAAGAGGCAAGATGGTACCGTTTTGGGGAATAATAATCTGGTAAAGAGGCAAGATGGTACCGTTGTGGGGAATAATAATCTGGTAAAGAGGCAAGATGGTACCGTTGTGGGGACTTCGTCATCTGAGAATACTGCGTGCAGCAAGGTTCAATCTCTTCGCCGCGGGAAGCTATTTGGAGGAAAGATATTCCCTCATTGCAAAATTGGGGCCTCTGCCGTGGCCATCCAGAACTATCGCGTGTTCCCCGGTGGCAATCTTGTTAATGATCAGGGACCACTGCTTTGGCCATCACCGGTGTGATAGTAGGCGCTCCGTGATTACATGCGTTCTAACCTCAGGGGAGGGTGTCATCTCAGGTAACCCAGGTTAGGGTGATATTTCGGCTCCTCGTTTGAGATTAAAAAAATGTCGTGTAGCACTGAGAAACCCTACTCTGTTACGAGTAAAGGTCCCTGAAGAAGTGAATGACCGTTCACCACCGGAGTTAATATCGCACTTGTTGCAATGTGGCGAGGGATTGCTCAATTCTGTGGGGTAACTTCTCTCGTGTGAGGGAGGTGATACCCAGTGTCACATGCGGTACACCGATCACCCATGTCCTTCTAATCACCTCAGTCGAACTTACCCCGATTACCTATATTCTTCAGATCATCTCGGGCAAACACACCCCGATCACCATTGTTCTTCAGATCACCTTGGGTAAACATACCCCGATCACCGGTGTCTTTCAAATAATCTCGAGCAAACATACCCCGATCACCTATTTCCTTCAGATAATCTCGAGCAAAGACATCCCGATCACCCATGTCCTCAGATCAGATATGGAGCAAACGTACCCCGATCACCCATGCCCTTGGGATCATCTCGAGAAAAGCATACCCCGATCGACAATGTCCTTCAGATCACCATCGAGCAAAAAACATGCCCCAATCACCTTCGTCTTTTAGATCATTCACCATGGAGCGAACATACCCCGATCACCCATGTTCTTCGGATCACCTCGGTTAAACATACCCCGATCACCTTCGTCCTTCAGATCATCATGGAGCAAACATATACCCCGATCAACTAAGTCCTTCAGATTACCATGGCGCAAACATACCCCGATCGCCTATGTCCTTCAGATCACCTCAGTCAAGCATACTCCGGTTACATGTGTCCTTCAACTCACCATGGAGTAAGCATACCACAACCCAATCACCAATATCCTTCAGATCATCTCGAGGGAACTTACCCCGATCACGTATGTCCTTCAGATCATCTCGCACAAACTTACCCCGATCGCCTATGTCCTTCAGATCACCTCAGTCAAGCATACTCCGGTTACATGTGTCCTTCAACTCACCATGGAGTAAGCATACCACAACCTAATCACCAACATCCTTCAGATCATCTCGAGGAAACTTACCCCGATCTAGTATGTCCTTCAGATCATCTCGCACAAACTTACCCCGATCGCCTGTATTATTCAGATCGCCTCGGGCAAACGTACCCCGATCACTCATGTCTTGCAGATCACCTCAGGCAAACATACCCAGATCACACATGTTCCGCCGATCACAAAGGACATCAATACCGTTAGAAAGAGCTAGCTGTAAAGATTATGTGTGGAACTTTCCCGAGGAGAACCGTTGAATCACCGCCACTGAACCGCACAGACACGTGGATTGTAAATGGTGAACTTCGCAGGCCCTTCGATGTGAAAACTGAACCGCGAAGGCAACGTCGAAAGCTTCAACCACAGCGACGACACATGCCTCCACATACGGAGACGTTCGAAGAACGACGATTGTGCAAGGCCTAGGAAGCAGTATCTCCTCCAAGGCAAGCCGCCCGTCGAACCTCTCAATCGACTGCTGTATTGTGGCACTTCTTCACGAAGGGGCGATAGCCCTGAAAGCACGGAGGAGCCTACCATCTAGTATTGCTCTTTACCACACGAGCCCACACAACGCAAATGGCACTCAAGAGTCACGGGCAAACTTACGATCGTGGCAGAGGCCGCGAAGCGGTCATGGATGTCGACCCGCATTCCATGTGCAGAAGAAATAGAAAAGAATCATCACCACGCTGCCCGCACAGATCTACATACATCCCGAGGGTGCCGTTCAATGACACACTGATATGGACGTCTGTCTCTTCAAAACACTCATGCCAAGATCAAAATGTCACTCCGCCAAACGGATTCAGAACTCAAACACACACGGAGCCGGAACCGTGCAGCTCACACATGTACAGTCTTTTTTCTTATGTTTCGGTTTCGGCCGTTCGTACAGAGACCAGCTTAGCCTTCCTCCCCCATGACGGGCCCTAGATCGTGGAATTCACAGGCGTTTTCTGTTTTCCAGCCGGCTTGAGGCTGATGTGTTTTCATTCGTCAGTCGGGTAGCGCGGCCGATGCTATGGACACACACACACACAGGCAAGCGCTGAATCCGGGGGGGCGGGGCCACTTGCTTCAGTGCCCTCCGCGGGCTACCAGCGGGAGGACCGCAACAGACTGCAACACACTTGTTTCTTCGCATTTTTCGCGCCACAAGAAACGAAGTTCTTTCGTCGTCAACGAGGCAGGCGGTTTTTCCGCGCAATCGATGGAAAAAAGGCTGTAAATTGTACAGAAGTGTCTGAAAAAAGACGTCAATAAAAAATAAATCATGCGCACGGAGAGAGAAGAACAAAAAAAACGACACAACAACGAGGTTTAAAAAAACTGTGGTACTATCATACTACGAACGTGCGCAGGTGATGCCAGCGACCCCGCGCATCACCTATGGCGAAGCGGGAGGTGGGGGTCGGCAGTGGCAGCGGCAGCGGCAACTAGATGCCACAGAACGTCTCCAGCGCGACGGCGACTCCGTGCAACTCGTTGGTGGGGGCAGTGAACCTCGCCGCCCGCCGCACCTCTAGGGAGGCCTGTCCCATCGCGATCCCGTGCCCCACGCTCCGCAGCATCTCCACGTCGTTCTCCATGTCGCCCACGGCGATCACCTGTTCGTGTTTGCGTCACGGAGTTGCGACAAGAAGGGAGCGACAACAGGGTCTCTTGATTGGTGTATGGCATGGTGCAGCACGAGCCGGAGACGGGGGTTACGGTCCTGCCTGCCCAAGGTCTACCACGGCTGGCTGCTGTGCTGTTAATACAACTCTACTTGCATGAACTTGAAAAAACAAAACCGTATGTCGAGAAAACTGACTTCCGGAGTACGTGGGACGACACCATACACAATGATTGCCTCGGTTGTGACAAGTGTACGGAAACGTGCCTCAAGTCATCGTTAGCATCCCATCTTTCTGCCTCCGTCTCTGCATGTCCTTGTTCATGACTGTCTCTGGTTGTCTCACTTTCATTTTGTCTCCTGCTTATCTCTTTGTGTGTGTCTCTCTCTACCTCTTGCCGCATGCACCCTCGCCACCCTCCCACTCCCACGCCAAAACGACACCAATTCACTGTCTCGCTCACTCCACGCACCTCTTCAGGGGAAACGCCTAGCGTCTTCAGGAGGGCCTCCAGGCCTACTGCTTTGGAGGCCCCGTGTGGCAAGACTTCTATCATCTCAGGTACCCCTCTCGTCAACTCTGCCGGGTGGTCCTTGAGATGCTCTTTGAGGTCCTCCTCAAAGGCATCGACGGCAGCCCTACAGCGGGGTGACGAGAGGGGGATGGGGCAGAAAAAAGGGATAAATAAGTGAATCAGATGTGACGGTGGTTTCCATCTTCAACATCAAAGTGCTTGCAAAAGAGCGAATGCCAGTGATTGAAAGAGAGCAGGTGTCATTGAACACGAACCTTTGACAAACGGAGCACATCGAAACAGATCGGCATGGCATGTTGACTGTAGCAGAGGCTACATCACAACAACAAAGCTTTGTTGTTCTCGTTGCCTCCACCTTGAAAACCAATCCATCCTCTGTGCAGCACCCCACAATCCCGGCTCTTCAAGACCAGGAAACGATTTTCGCAGCAGCAATAAGCCCAAAACAAGGTTAAAATAACAAGAAGGACATATCATAACACTGCGAACTCATCGATAATTTTCCTGGGCTCTTTCCTACGGATAGAAATGGTTTTTTGCTGATTCTGAAAAGAAAAAAACAAACGAATTTCGACCTCCCAATGGGGTAGGTCCAAAATCTCGACGTCCAACACGTGAAGAAAGCCATACGAATGAATGCCGGCAGGCCCGAATGAAATCGCGCCGCGGCATCGATCACTCTTGCTACACCGCCTTCTCATCCACAACAAAACCGGGCCAAACACGTCAGCACGTATCAGAGTACTCGAGACGGGAATAGGCGCGAGAGGGGGGTCGTGTGTAGACGAATAGGATAGACTGACGAGGTGAATCCTATTACGTCATACATGTAGGTCAGGTGCAGACAACCATGCAAAAAATAAATGTCATAAAAGTGGACATCTAGTTCAGGTAGACAGCCTTAAAGCCCAGCTGAGATCAGAAAAGGGAGGGTATTCTTGGATCACAAACCACTAACCGGGATCGGATTGTATCGATGGCCCGTTCAACACCGTTCTGTCTGTCCACTAACGCAACCCCATTCTTTCCGGCTCTCACAAGCTCCAAGTATCGATTGAGAACGTGCTAAATTTTGCATTGTTCTTGAGACGCAAAGCCAACACGAAAGTCAGGTGCAAGCACAAAAAAAGAAAACGACGGCCCGGCTACCAACCACCAGCGAAACCATCTCTCGTTACTGTTGGATTGGTGAGAGCAGGAATGATTCAAGGTGCCGGGAAGAGAAAAAAGAACGGAGCAGCAAAAATACTGCTGCGAATTCGTGTAGATAAGGAGGCGTTCGTGTCGCACCGAGTTGGTCCCCAGAAGTAGAGGCGGTTAAGCCCCATGCCGCCGGCGATCGCTTCCTGCCAGCTGCCTACCTTTCTCGGACAATTACGGAAAGACGACCATCCACACGCGGGTAAGCGGGGAGGGGATTATCGTCAGTACCATGTAAAGGCGTGCCGTAGCCGTTTTAGACCAGTGACCTCGCCGCCGGGACAGAGCGATATGCCGGGTTTTCGCCACCCCAGGCTAATACTATCTAGGCGACCGGGGTCCTCAAAGTCGTGCATGCCGTAGTCGTTAAACCATTGGCGACGGGGGGGGGGAGACTTTTGCGAGGCATGAAAAAACGCTTATTTCCTGTTGTGAATATTTCACCTCAGGACACCGGAGTAGGGGTAACGGCCGTTTTCACGTCACAAGTTTGTTAAATATATTTCCAATCCGAACCTACCTAGTTACAGTGTTGAAATGATATCCTGCCACGAGGAGCAGAGGTGGGAAGGAAGGCACGGAGGTCAACGTGCTTTGGCGGCGGCACTGTGGCGCTACACGTCTGTGTAGACAACCGTTTTTGAGTCTCAATTTAACACAACGACTTTCATTCTGAAAATCGCATGCCTCCAAGACGAGACGAGACGGAAAAACTCTGAAGGAGCTGGGACAAGCAAATAACTCTTGCTCTTGGCATACTTCTTGTGCCCGCCGGATTTTAACTGTGATCGGTGGCGAAAGGGATGCTGGAAACAGTCAGCGACAAACACGGCTCGCTGTAAGCAGCGGTATTTCACTGCCAGAGGAAGCCAGGCCGTTTTTCACGCTACAGCGGCGGTTCCTCGAGCGATCCTCGCGGTTGTTCCCATCGGAAGGATGATGGCGCCAAAGCTAGCTACCCTGAGCCAACACCATCTGGGCTGTCCCTGCACCCCCAGCCGCCCTCGATGTCGTGTAGCCGTCGTCACACATCAAAAGGCCTCACCTCCTTCGGCAACGGCTCCCCCCAGTCAGGAAAGCTGGCAGACAACCACCGAACCGAGAGCGCCCGTGCATGACACCATGAAGTCGTAGGGCGAGGGCGGGGGTGGGTTGAGCGACGGAGCGGTGTCAAATCCTGCTCACTGTTTTGAGTCTGTCCTTGGGCCGTTGGCCATGGATGCGAGTACCCATCGAGACCCAGGGGTACCGATGCGTCCTTCTCACCTTCTCTGAGAGAGTCGCAGGGCCAAAACCCGAACAACTCGAACCCGAGAACTTTTCTATGTAGCACGTGTTGACATGTGCTACCACAGTTAACTACTGTTGCCTACTTTACAGCACGTGCTTCGTCAGTCAATTGAGTCTTTTCACGAACCAGAGAGCTAGAGTCCCGCTAGAGTAGTCTGGCTCCAAGCGACCGTAGCGGCTGGAGAATATTTCAGGATTGAGTGTGTGTATTCCTCAGTGTTTCATTCGCACCGTCTCGTGCCCATGTGCCTTTTACCCCCTGCCACGTGACGTGTACCGCGTGGGTACCTGGCACCCGAGTTCGGCAAAAAGCTGGATCATTGTCCAGCTTGCCTTCGTCAGCGCGCATTTTTCTCTGTACATTTATTTGCCTTCATCCTTCATCTGGAGATAGAACTCTGAACTTCTCATCTTCACTTGTCCGTTTTCCAGTTAGCCAAGATAAAAATCTTAAGCCGAAAACATGAGCTTTTCTATATTTGGGGTTAGTTCGCAAACTGTTTTGCAAATATATATATATATTTTCAAGTGTTTCCGTTTTGGAGGAAATCTCACACCTGCTAGTCCGAGGGTCAAGGGTCTCTACGACAATGGTCTCCCCCTCGCTCCCGCACAAGGAGACTCCCGCCGCCTCCGCCAGGGGGTGAGCCTTCCAGAAGGCTACAACCCTGGCCGCTAGCTCCAGGCACATGAGCTCGCTGTGAATGATCTCGCCCAGGTCACCGTTGCCGTCTCCCTGCCCGTACACCTTGTGTGTTGGTTTTGGCGGCAAGGGCGCGCGCCGTTCATGATGGAAGGACACAAGCAGGTAGCTGATGATCACGTTATCGCATGCGGGTGTCATCGGTCGTAGAAATCGCTGTTCGTTGTTTTTGTTACCGATGTTGTTGCGAATTTTTCTAAGCAGCCCCTCACCGTCAGGCCGTTCATGCACACGAACGGGGATCCGTCTCTCTGAAGCTCCTGCCCCAACTCCCCCATGGCGGATATCATGCCCGACTTGGAGCGGCCGCTCGCGGGCACGAAGATGATGCCCTTGGCCCTGGTGAAAAACAAAAAAACAAGAAACGCCACCGAAACCGCTTTGTGTCGAGCTCCTTCGGGTGAGGATCGGAAGCACACAACGCGAGCAGAGGACATCGCTCGGTACTGGTGGTCTCAGGGTCTATCCTTGGTCGTAGCAGAAAAAGAAAATCGTGTTCGTTGTTGACAGGGACAAGCAACAAAACCATATGCGCCGCCACCAACGCCTCAAACCAACAGCGACAACAGCAACGAGAGAAAAACACGACTTCGACCACCCGCACCACGACATCGGCAACCTCCAAAACACAAAATAAAAACCCCAACACCGCCATTCACCTAGCCTTTCGAACAGCCTCCATAGTGGTGGCGGACACAAGCTTGTCCGGCCCCAGCAGAGTCCCGTCCAGGTCCGACACCACCGCTCTTATCCGTGTCGCCCCCCCCGTCTCCACGTCGTGCTCGTACCGCTGCCCGCACCTCGCCTTGGCGACGTAGGCCTGGGAGGGGTGTGGGGCCGGCCACCCTTCATCGTCGTCTCTGCTGGTGCTGGTGCTGCTGATGCCGTTGTTGCTGCTGTTGTTGTCGTTGCTGGTGCCGCCGCTGAAGTTGTTGCTGCCATCGGCCGGCGATGCCGGAGACGAGGAATAGGACGAGGAGAGGGCCGATGAGGAGGAGGAGGAGGTCGGGACAATTGCTGCTGCTGCTGCTGCTGCTGCTGCTGCTGAAGGAGGCGTTCGTGGTGGCGAGCGGCGAGGGGACGGGGAACGCGGCAGGGCCCAGGTGGAACTGGCGCGGGAGGGAGAGAGGTGGCTTGCTGACGGCGAAGACGACGACGCCGACACCCCCCCTCCTCCTCGTCCTCCTGCTGCCGAAGATTCTCCAGACGCTGGGCCGGGAGCCACACAAGCGAGAGGAGTGGAACAGCGAATACCGACGCTACTGCTACGCCGAACGGAGCATGGGCCCCCGACTTTCCCATCCGACTCGCTCCACCATCGGGGATGCACGTCCACGGCCGGAAACACTCCGTCGGTGCCGCCGCCGCCATCCCTGCTGCGAGCCCTTACCATCCTGCCCCCTACATTGTCGCCGCGGCTTCGCGAAGCCATCGATGAGCTCCTGCAAGCTCGCGAGATAGTACCGCCGATAGCGCCGCCTGATGGACGAAACAAAAAGGCCGATGGGCGGGTCGCGGGAAGACAAGACAAGCGGGTCCTCGTTGTTGGGAAGAGGGGGGCGCAATTTAGACAGCAAGGATCGTAAATTTGTGGCTCGGGGAGTGGTAGTATATGGAGAACGCAGCTAGAACAATCTTGAGGCAACGGACGTACTTGTTGTAGCAATTAGAGTAGTGTGTGTTCGGTGTCTATGTAACGGAGGAGACTGCCAGCGCCAAACCCGAAGGATCCATCTCCCTTTGCTGCATTTTTTGGTGCGTCACATGTGTTCATGGGGTGTTACCCCTCCCGCGGAATATTTTTCTGCTGACTCCCACGAAAGCCAAACCACTATTAGCGCGTCTCACCGTGTGCACAACAACGGTTCACACTGATAACTTAAGGGCCAATGTACAACACAGGTCTCATCTCTGTTTAACCGATGTCAAGAGGCCCTCCCAGTGGAAAGATAGGAGCACCCCCAGGCTACGCGGCAATCTGGGTCTGTTGGTACAATTTAGTTCGGAATACTTAAACCTACGCCATATGCTTAGTTTTACATATATGCTATACAATAATGAAGTAGGATTTAGCGTTGACATATTTCTGACCTTACATCCTCAAAACACAGTGCGAAACTAAAGCCTACAGGATAGAGTATGCCAGGTACTATACGATTTTAGAATGCGATATCAGCGCATGTAGTACATAGTATCGCCATAGTTGAATCAATGTACCCACGTAATATATGGGGTATTACGTACCATCGTAAAGCCTACACAAAAAAAAGTATAATACGCCGGGAAGGAGCGAAATGCCGGGTTTTCGCCGGCGCAGGCTACGTTTCACAAGGATCAACCCGAAGCTGGCCATCGTCCCTGCGTTCGCTGTGCCAAACCAGATATGCCATGGGTTCATTGGACATCCCGGCTAAACATACGTTGCACATTCGGCAGGCACGACTGTACTTCAAGTACTGTACAACAAGTGACTTCGATCTTTGCGCGCTTGTACACAACAGGCGCGCCACACACTGCGAACACGTCGCTTCGCGCGTCATGCACTCGGAGTAGAATCTGCTTGTACAAGTAGTCTATACTTCAGGCGGAAAAGTTCCAAGTTGGCAGTTCATACGTTACTCTTCCTCTAGCGCGCTCGCCGCCAGGTGAAGTACTTCGGAGTACTTCGAAGTATTATTTTGTTCGATTGCGATAATCCAGCATTCTGTTGGAAACAATTCAATATCATGTCCAGTCGAAGGCCACCAAGACCCCTAGAATAACGCAATAGACTGACCAGTGGCTTCATGTTCGCCATACACGTTTCCCGAAGTGCCAAATCGTTTCCATCGTGTCTTCTTGTGCCACTTCCTTTCATTTTTATGAAAATCCACCCCGACTTTTCCCCCATACAAGTAGTCGACCAAAACATTCGCCGTGCTCAAATATATGACTGAATCAACTCCATGACAACAAAATATACAGCAAGTCTATCCAATGGGTGTTCATCGCGGCGCAAAAGAAAAAACAACACGAAAACAATGCAAAGCCACTCGCGTTACGTCCAAAAGTAAGGCATTTTGCCCACCGAAAAAGCGACCATTCTCCGTTGTACAACCGGGAAATCACCAAAAAAACAACATAATAATCTTCCCTAGCTACCACTCTGGGTTTGGATTACGCTCTGATAAGCCAAATGTGTGCGTAATCGAGACATGTGTTGGTGGCCGTCATTACCATGACCAAGCAGATTCGGCCCCATTTTCTTAAAACGCGAGCGAATCACCACACTGGCTCATTATCCTCCAATATTTCTTTGGGTGTTTCCGCGAGCGTGATGGCACGGACTAAAGCTATCCCCAGACCACCAAGTTCATGTATAACTCGTTACCAGGGGGCTCAGGGACGACAGGCTGCGCCCTAAGCCCGCACATAAGCATGAGGTAGTCTAGATGCTAGTTGCTCACGGTAGAGGTGAAGGTTGATGGTAAGCGTGACGGAAAGGACGTTGACAACCGAAAGAGAAGGAGATCACGCATTTCGCTGGAGGAAAGCGTTATTCAAAACGAGATGAACCGCAAGTATACCCCTTGGGATGCATGGAGGAAAATACAACACGGAGAGAGTTATCCAATCTCCTCTACGACGCCGCAGGTAACAGACCTCGCCAAACATACGCAAAATATGTCAACCTGGCAGGTGGTGGCCCAATTTGAAAATAGAAGCTCGTTCCATGGAGAGAAAAATACACCTAATCGCCCGAAAGCAATCTTCCTGCTATCGCAGCGTGCTGGAATGCGTCCTCTGCGTTGTTTGAACACCTTGGGGAGATCGTAGTGTACAAAAAAAGGCATGAAATCGGCACAACGACGCCTCACACGAAAATTTGGTACGCAACGTACCAAAAGCTGTACGTACTTGCGCGTAGAGCCTAAGCCAGGACCGACGACGATAGGAGTTATGCGTTCGCGTTGAAGCGCTGCTGCGATGAGGAGAGGTCCGGGGAAACACTGGCAGGCTTGCACTTCTTCGTGGCCGGAGAACGGTCAAGAACAGCAGACATTTCGACCTGCCCGGGGTGTAGTGAGGGCGCGTTGTGTGTCCATGGGTGGGCCCATGTAGGCGGAGCCGGGCCGTTTGTTCAAGAGCCAAATACTCTCCACAGAGCATCGCGAAACAGCCGCATAATCCAGCCCCCCCGCCCCCGGGCTTAAAAAAAAAAAGACCCCAAAGCTCTACTTCTTCGGTGGCGTAACACCTGTGACGTGAATATACGGTCTACTGTCCGCCAAAAACGCCGCATGCGGCATGACGTCTACAGCAGCGAGCGGGGCGACTCTGCCGCACGCACCTGTTGTACGCATTAATACACACGCAACAAGAGCACATCATGAGATTTCTTACGGCTACGGTCTATGTGTGCACTCAATAGCACCAAGCAAGCAGGGTCTGTTCTACCGCTGTACAGCAGAATATCTATCCGTGTAATGCATGCAGTATAGTCAGCCACGCAGTACATCTGCAGTCGGTTTCTGCATGTTTGATGTCCTCAGTCAACAAGCTGAGGGCCGCGCGTTCCAGAACGCCGAGTTGGATGGGTTGTCAACGTACTGCAATCCACAACAAACCTTGCCGCGCCGAAAATACACTCGTTCGCACATCCAGAGGGTTCGGCGACCGGATTGGCACCTTTTCTCCTATCGAAATAGAGGGTCGTGTTCCATGTGTGATGTTGTATTGTAGTCACCCGCATGAGAAATACAGCAGTATTTCGGAGTGTCAAGGCAGGTAATGAGCGTTGAGGCCCCACCAAACAAAGAGGGCATCAGCAGCGAGCGAACACCATGAGATCGTCAGCAGAGAGCAGAGCTCGGAACGAACCAACCGTATGGTTCCGAATGGCCCGTTTTTCTAAGCCAATGAGAAGCCATCCTTTTTTGGTTCCGGAGCGCGGCTGGCGAATGTTCAACTTGACACCTCGCTTTGCGTCGTCTCTAGCGTAGGTTGCGGCGCGCATCAGCGCGTGAGACTCCCAAGGCAGGCTACATACATATCAGCCCCGCCGTAGGAGAAACCACGATCAAAAGACGATTTTTTCGTCAGAAATTGATTCATGTACCTTGATTCCACATGCCTGCGGTGCTAAAACCAACTTGCTATGCTGGAAATAGAGAGCCACGCATCGCTGGGAGCGCGGAACAACAAGGCGGGTCGAAACGGCAGGAGAACCTGAGCGATTAAGTAGAGAGAGGGAGGGGAGGCTGCCTTTTTAAGCCCGCACACAAGCACGGCGTAGAGACGAAGTTGATGATAGCGCGATGGAAATGATGTTGGCATGCCAAAGAAAAATAAAAAGGCATTTCGGTGAAGGGACGTCTTCGTCGCATGGGACGAATAAAACAGCACGTATGTATCCCTTGGACGCATGAAGGAACACATAAGACGGAGAGAAACACGTATTCAAAGTACGGCGAGGCAAACCTCGCAGGTGGTCACCTACTTTGAAAGTAGAAGCTTCATCCACAAAGACAACACACTCGCCTCTTCCAGATAAACACAAGTCATCTCCCGAAAGCGCCGGGTTCAATGTTGGTTTGTTTGCCGAACGTGTTGGCATCATTGTCACCAGCACGCTACAAACAATGAGCGTTGAGGCTTGGTTGAGGCCCACCAAACAAAGAAGACACCACCAGCGAACGCACGTGTACTGCAGCTGAAGCCACCTGGTGATGAGCCAAATCCACGAACCACCACGTAGAACCACGAAGAAAGGGCGAATTGTTCAGCACACCTGCCCCCGGGCTTCAGAAAAAAAGGGCAGAAACCATTATCGCTCCACTGTGCTGTAGCGTCTACGACAACAATATACGTTGTGCTACATGTACACACATGCTGCAGCTACTGCGGCTGCTGTGAATGTACCTCAATTACATGCATCAATTCAAGCCAAAAACGCACAATAAATGGTATACCTTACCGGAAAGGCTACCGGTACACGTTTATGCATACACTAGCACAAACAAGTAGGGTGTCTTCTGTATCTACTGCCGTAAAGCACATCTATCTGGATACTGCAGTTTAGTCAGCCACGCAGTACATCTGTATGGTCAGCTTCTCCCTGTTCGGTACCCTGAGTCAATAACCGGAGGGTCGCGTGTTCCGGAAGGCCGAGTTTGATGGATTTGTCAGTGTGTACCACTAGTCTATCCACTACAACAGCAGTCGCAAACAAAACTTGCAACGCCGAAAATCCACTCGTCCGTATATCCAGAAGTAGCCGACCGGAGTAGTACGTTTACTCTATTGAAATAGAGGGCCTTGTTCCATGAGTGACGCTGTATCGTTGTCACACACATGCAATACGCAGTGCTACAATGAACCGGTCGCCCCGGTGGTCTAGTGGGTAGCCTCGCAGCCGGCTAAGGGCCAGGTCATGGGTTCGAGTGCCGGCAG